GATGGGGCGACGTGTTATTTTCTAAAACGAATAGGGTTTTTCGAAATTGTATGCAGGGTGATTCAAAATTCTATGTAAATATCTTATGGACATATTGTTGGGATCAAAATTCGACTTTTTCTTCATTCAACATGTGTTCTATAATGCACCCTCTCCGAACTACACCCAATGAAAGTTAGGTGAAAATAGTAGATTGTTTTATTAGGATCAAAAGTGACACTTTGTTTGACAAGCAAATTTTGCATTTGCGAGGCGGAGCGTTTAGCGAAGCCGAGCGAAAGCAAAATTTGCGAGTTGAACAAAGTCACTTTTGATCCGAATGAAACATGCTATTTTTTCTGCAACCGAAACAAATAACTCAAATAAATATGTGAAGTTACCTCCAATACCGTGCCATATGTATACAATGCAACAAATATTGAAAAATAATCCGTGTGGTGAGAACATTCTACCAGCATCAACAGCAGGTTCATTCAATTTTCAAGGATGTTCGAATTATTATTGTAGTTTCCTCGGTAGTTTCAATATAAATACAATCACAGAGTGACATATTTTTGTACGGACCAGGTGCTCTAATGGCAAATACCGCGTCAGTGCCAGCTATAGAAACAAGACTTGGAAAATGTTAGGTTAGTGAGCACATCAACAATAAGAATAGCAATTATTTTTTCCTCTCCGTAATACAATGTTTGTCGCTTGATAATCAAATGAAGGTTAATAATATCGTTGTTTGAGACAAAAAAACTATTGTTTGCCGTGATTATCCAAAAACAAGTTATCCATCCTGAGAATAACCAATGAAATACAGATCAAGCAAGTATTTGAATCTTGAAGGCTTCCCTGATCAAAACAAAAATACTTAACTGATATGTTAATAATTCCAATACTAAACTATAATAAGGTGTATTTATATCTCCAGCATGGGTATGAAATACCAAATCTGCTGAAATCGGGAACAAATCAGGTATGCCTCTCAACCCAAATAACCAACCGTCACAATGTTGTTTATTCTTGATGACGTCCAGTAGATCCTTTTTAGTTCCTAGGAGCTAAAGTTCAACTTTAGCTCCTAGGAACTAAAATTCAACTTTAGCTCCTAGGAACTAAATATGTTGCCTAGCAACATACCTATTTTTGTGTCAGTAATAGAAACGTCAATTTAAGAGCTAATTTTGGTATCAAAATGGACGACTTTTGTGTCGGTTGCAGAAAATAGTTATTTATTGTAAAAGGGGAAAAAGTAGTAGATTTTAGCTCCAGGTTCTGTTGTCTCCCGACGCTTAGTGGAGGGAGACAATAAACTGTCATTTCATAAAATGCCAAGGAGAACCTTGGTAGTGAAACGCACTTTACGCCATGAAAAGGAGCAAATATAATGGTCAGTTCTATAGCTAGTGGTGGAAAAAACATATTCAATGGTGCGATGGTTTGATGGTTCAATGGTTCAATGGTTCAATGGTTCAATGGTCATTGTTCATAAATTCTGGTGTTCTCTGAAGGAAAAATGTCTAATATTCTTATTTTCAGGTGTTGATAGCTTGATCATAATTGATGGCTACAATTATCTCTTCTGGCTCAGACATCTAGAATACTGAAGAGGACGTGTAGTAGTGATGCCTTTTATTCAGATTAAACAGTGTTAGTGAAAAATCTGATTGAAACAGTTATACACTATAGGATAGAATAGAATCGTTTAATTGCTAATAAGACTACATTCACAAAGTTGCATCAGAAAAGAAATTGACAATTAAACATGGAAACTTACAGAGGCCTCAGCCTGTGTGTGAGCAAAAAAAAACAAATTCATACATACATTGATTTAAAAATAGTGAACAACAAACTGTATACTCGCAGAGGACGAAGAAACATGAAAATATATAAAATGTATTCAAATTCAAAATTCAAGTATCCTTAAGAATAATATTAAAATGTTAAAATATAAATATAAGATATTAAAATTTATATAAAGTAATGTACATGATCATTGAAATTATATTTGAACATATATTTGAATTGAGGTTGATTGAATTGTTTTTGCAACACATGTATATAGGTACTCATACAATATGTCACTTTCCTAGAATGATGCACACAAAGGGATATTCACTATTGAAACTCAATCGAATAGGAAACGTATAATAAGCACCGAACATGTTCGGTGGTATAAGTGCACGGGAGGTATTCTTTAAGTAATGAGTAAGTTTTTTTTTAAATAGCATATTACTCTTTTCTGTCTGAAGTGAAATCGGTAGCGAGTTGAAAAATTTTGGACCTAAGTGTGAATAGCATTTATGTCCTATTGCTTTGGATGTAAGAGGACACACAAAAATTATGTTGTTGTCTTGTATTATATTCATGACTGAGTTGTATCAAGTTATTTTTATTCTGGTGTTGTCGAATATTGATGATTTTGAAAGTCAGCTGTCGAATGTCTAGTATTTCCGATTCTTGATGAAGAAGCTCGCTCGGGTATCTTTTATTTTTGGACAGCATCAATTTTAGGAAGAAGCGCTTCTGAATCACTTCGAGATGGCGCAAATGAGTTTTTGATACACCTCCCCATCCCAGAACTCCATTTGTGATGTGACTCTCAACTAAGCTGTGGTATATTATTTGTTTTTGCTTCAGGTCGAGTATGTCAGTCAGCTGTCGATATTTATATAACATAAATCTCAGTTTTCGTAAAATGTAGTCTATAATATGTAAGTCCCATCTGAGGTGGCTATCTTAGATTAATCCAAGATATTTAACTTTAGTTGCTGGGGATATTTTCAAGCCATTCTTTATTGAGATTTGTTCAATGTCAGGTAACGAAGATTTGGTGCTGTAAAGTGGTAAGAAGCAAGATTTCTTGAAATTTATAGATTTTTTAGATAGCAATCTACTATCGAACCAGTCCTTCCAGATATTGAAATCATATTCAGCATCATTTATTGTTTGATCATAACTTCTGCTTTTGTAGACTACCACAGTATCATCTGCAAAACTTATCACTTTCTCTTGCAATTCTAATGAAAATATACCATTTATATAAATAGAGAAAAGAATTGGACCCAATACCGTTCCTTGGGGGACACCGCACTCTATAGTCCTGTAGCTACTAATATCATTATTGCTTTTTACACATTGTTCTTGGTCTTCAAGATATGTTTTGAATAGATGTAAACAGTTATTTCTTATACCAATTTTTTCCAAACTTGATAACACTGTGTCCATAAAGGTGACGAGCCCTCTCTCATACTGTGTTCAACTGAATACACTCAATACATATATTCTTGTTGAGTAGAAACACAAAATTATCACGTCACCTCATGATGTATCTAATAAACCATTCATAATATTCGATATCAACCATGTGCTATAGCATCTAAAATACATGTCAACTCTTAGGAAATTTTCTATACGAAGTTGTATTGTAAAACAGAGTCTGCATGAGCTGAATAGCTGTTATTTATTCAAATCAAAACTCGATATAAATCAATGGAACAAGAGGTTGTTGATTGTAGTTCGCACTTGACAAAACGGTCTGAGTCGTTACTCTGAGTAGCCGCTCAAAGCAATAAAAACGCGTTCGGCATATCATCCAGACGACCGTACGCGCGGCAGCAGCGCTGCTCGATGTTGCGTTTGTTTTATTCCATAAAAACACATCTCCTTGGACAAGAATGACTGGTACCAGTTCACTGATGTCTCCGTATCAAGAACTCCGTCTGAGATGCTATCCCGACTAAGATCCCCCGAAACGTCATACATCCTCTTTTATAGCAGTGATGATGACTTTAAGTGGGAGAGCCTTTCTCCTATCTCCCTCCCTCTTAGACTACGGATGATGATTTTGAATCTGGACCATCTTGAATTTAACGAGTTCCAGGAATAGCTCCAGCATTTCATTAATGTTTCATCTTTATATTGATTCTTGCAAAAATTAATTTTTTATTTCTTATTAAATAAATATATCTTTTCTCCACTTGTGAAGTAGTATATTAATCAGTTTCGATTCCATACAGTGGCGTATCTGGCCATTCACTCTGTGTTCAGGAAAAGGTTGGTACTGTAGGTAGGTAGTTACAACAACAAAAAAGATCACAATAAAAAAGGAACATTATGAAAATAATGACTATGTATTCAGTATTCACATACCTAAACCTGATAATGAGTATTATTGAAAAAAAAAGAACAAAACAACCATTCAATATGAGAACAAAAATAGTGCTGGTGCCGGTACACCCACTCTTATATTATAAGGTTATCTTATTACTTATTCAATCAATCACAACATTAAAACTAAGAGAACAAAAAAGAAAACTCAGTTCCTTCTCTTCTTATCTCTTCGTCTTGAATGTTCCAATGTGAATCCATATCCGTCATCACCAATTAATGTGAGCACAATATCTCCATATAAACCGCTATGACTATGTTGAAAACGCTAGAATTCCAACACGGCGCAAGGGAGGTATTTTCCGAGGCATATAACCTCCAGAAATTCAAGAAGAACGCCAATTCCTGCCTTATTTCCCTTGGTTCTCACGATGTACTCTGAACATTACAGGATATCCCTTTTTGTGGGATCCAGAATATATAAAACAAATCAAGTAGAAATGTCGCATTCACCTACCCTGAAAACTCTAGATTTAGCGACAAAACCGCCAAGATGGCAACCCTGGCCGGGGTGCCAGGCCTCAAGTTGTGGGTAACTTATCTTCTGGATGTTGCGCGCGGTGTTTGACGAATAGGGTAGCTATAGTAGGTACTACCGGTATGAGACTCTTATATGGTCATTCTATGGGTACCATACTTGATACCGGCGAAAAATAATAGAGGTATAATAATGTGTTCTTGATAATAGTTATATATTTGAGTAACAGTAAACTTCTGTGTCGTGGTTATCAATTTATCGAGTTTTTGTATTTATTGTGAATATTTTTCGAGGATTGAGGAGGGGCTTTGGGGAGGGGGTAATTACCCCCTCTACCCCCCCTTAGATACGCGCCTGATTCCAGACATCCATCACCGCCGAGAAGATGCCCGCCCGCCCCCTGTCCCGAACCATACTCCTGCCCCCCTGACCCCTGCTCCTGCAGCAAGCGGCAGCAGGACTGCCCCCCCAAAAAACCGCAGCAGTGCTGCTGCAACGACGGCGCTGCGGCGCGCGACTCTTCCCGACAGGCTGACTGCGCAGGCGTGTGCTGCTGCAAGGAGAAGACGGCCAAGTACTGCGTGTGCGGCAGGCAGAATCCCTGCAACTGCAAGATGAGCCAGATCAGGGCGGTTTGTACGTCGGTGTGCATGAGGTGTGGACATAAAGTGAGTATACTTGAATGAATCGGAGAGAGACAAAAAAGGATAAATGATGTTAAACCAGTCGGTAGTTATTTTTCGTCACATGTACACATGCCAGTAGTCAATCGTCATTATTCGTAACTCCATACTACCCAGATAGCACGCACTCACCTAAGGTCATCCTCAATGTTTCGGCTGAATTGTAATGCTCCGTCTCATGTGGCATTACAATTAGATTACTGTAGAGCTGTCGCTTCCAAACAGGCAGCATTCCATCGATGGCAGAAAAATCCAGGCCCTGAGACTAGAGCAGAATATGTCGAGACTAGAGGCATATGCAATGAGACAATTCGATCATCAAAGGATGCTCATAATGCCAAAATAAGATAAAAACCTGTTGAATGTCCTAATGGATCCCATTCATTCTGGTCCTTCGCCAAAGCTGTAGGAAGAAACTTCACTTCCAGCTCATTTCCTCCTCTAACCAAGGAAGATGGAATACTAGCCACAACTGCCCAGGAGAAAGCCAACATCTTTGCGCATTTATTTGCTGGAAATTCCACACTGGATTCATCGGGAAAACAACCTCCAAAAATAACGCCAATTGACAGTCATATGCCCGAGATCATCTTTCGCCAATGTACTGTAAGGAAGATTTTATTGGGTCTCAACACCAACAAAGCTTGTGGCTCCGACGGAATCCCACCGATTGTTCTCAAGAAATGTGCTCCCGAACTATCACCTGTTCTCTGCAAGTTGTTCAACTACTCTCACAAATTGGGGATATTCCCGTCCAACTGGAAAATTGCAAGAGTACAATCAGTTCCTAAAAAAGGCAAAAAGACCCTACCTAGCAACTACAGACCGATCGCACTGCTATCTATTATTTCAAAGATCATGGAGGAAGCTATCAACATCGAGCTCATGAAATACCTGGAACATTCTGGTATTATCAGCGATAGGCAATATGGCTTCCGTCATCAGAGATCAACTGCTGACCTGCTCACTTACGTCTCACAGCAATCTAATGAATAATATGGTGAAACCTTAGCCGTGGCACTTGATATCTCCAAGGCATTCGATCGAGTCTGGCACCACGGACTCCTCGCCAAGCTTCCATCTTATGGCCTGCCTCCCCAGCTATGTTCTCTGCTAGCTAGTTTTCTCTCAAACAGGTCTCTCCATGTAGTGGTCGACGAAGTTTCATCTGACTCTATCATCATAAATGCTGGTGTTCCGCAAGGATCAATTCTAGCACCAACACTATTTCTACTCCAGATTTGTTGGAAGCAACTTCATGTCCAGCACACAGCTTCGTGGATGATAGTACCCCCCATACCGTCTTCTCTTTCGGGGCTCCAATACCAGCCAGGAAAATCAGAAACGAACGAGGGAGAAATGTTGACAACATAAGTATGGACTTGGCAACAATTCTAGAATGGGGATTCAATAACTTGGTAGATTTCAATGCCGATCTCACTGTGCCCAACAAAAGCTTGCCAGGAGTAACCCCAGATAAATCCAAATGGAACATCAGTGCTATATCTTTAGTTTGTATGTACCAATCAGAAACATTGAACTTCACTACCGGGTATTCATAATTCATATCCAATACTTGAAGAAAACATTGTTTGGTTCTTTTATTTCATTTCTGCTGACTGAAACGCATATTTTCATGAGTAATGCGATACATGAAAAAACGGTCACAAAAACTATTGAATTACAAATACTTACCTACTACTTTCTATTCCTGCTATCGACTAGCATTTCTATAAGGAAAATGGTTATTGAGGTTTATAGGAGCTAATAAAAGCACAATGAAATCGTGGAAAGCACGGGATAGCATGAAAATCAGAGGAAAAACCGTGACGAATCTGAAGTCGACCTCGATATACCGTAAAGTCAATTGCCGTCAGCCAAGCTAAATGCCAACGGCGGCCATCTTGGTTCGACGTTATTATAATTTTTAAAAGTGTTCTAACTGATACAAGATTCTTAATTCTTTCAATTTGAGGAATAAGATAGATGATACTGAAGCAGTGAAGCTTGAGCCAGACAAAACTTCATCAATTAGTAGATATTGAAATCAAAGTGCGTTTCTTGTTTTCTTATAGGTTTATGCAGCTGAGAAGATATCCGTTTCTAGTGGTCCTTATCACAACAGTTGTTTCTCCTGTTACTGTTGTCATAAATTGCTCGATGTTAGGAACGTCTATGAGAACTGTGACGAAATTTATTGTAAAAGTAAGTAACATTATTAATGAAAATGATAAAAAACATTCTTTCAAAGCTTACACGATAAAAAATCATCAGTAGGTTCAAATTATGTACATCATATAACGTAGATTTACCCTTGACTATTCCACTCTTGATCTCGAGAACCAATCAGAATCGACCATTTTCATGGTTTCTTCTGTATTCTAGCGATACTTTTTGTTCATTAAATTTTATCGGACTTGCTCTACCAATACAGAAGCCGAATTGACCCACACGTGACCAACTAACCTCGTTTATCAGCGATAAAATTTTGACATCGTGTCTGGTCAAGATTGCTTTGGATTCAAATCAATAACCTAAGTTCCTACCTTATTTTATTTACTTATAATTCGCGTTAGTGAGATATTTTGTACGAAAGGCGAGACAATTTTATTCTGGCTGGACGTTTCATGTGTAATTTAAAAAGTTTGCATATTTTTTGACGGTCTGACACAACAATAATAGAATTCAAATTCCTTTTTGAAGTAATCTTCTTCAATTACTCAAGTTATTGTGACTGACTGATATAATTACTAGCTGATGTAGCGCAACTATTAGGGTTGTTGCGCGAGGATACGAAGGTCGATGGCTCGAGCCCTCGGCGACGATATCTTCTTTTTTTATTATTCCATGTAACATAAATTCACTTTAATTTGCTTGAATTGGATAGTAATTGTATACACTCTTTTGAGAGCAACTATCTCCAAGATAATTAAAAAAATACTGTTTATCAAAATTGTACATTCCACTTTGTGAATAACTATAAGTTGAGTAGGTAGTTAATTTCTAAAAAAGTTAATTCTGTATTTCATTACTATCATTATGTTCTTCTTCGCAGTTCGAGTTGGAATATACTTAAATTATGTTTCCTATTTCTTATATATATTGTCTCATTCAATCATGAAATAGTCATACGAATACAACTCGTGATACTATTTTTCCTGGAAATATTCGTCGGTTGACATACTCCAGCTTGCTGCTCTAATTTCGCTCATGCATGACATCGATCCAAAACTACTCGCCTACGGCTCGTAGTTTTGATAACAATGTCATTCACGAAATTACTAGGCAACAAGCTGTCGTAACAATCACCGAATATTTCTGGCAAAATATTATCACTTGTGGTATTATATATGAGAATATATTATGTATTTTTGACCAGATTTATTGTATATAGAGGTCTATACTGAAGTAGGTTGATATTTGAACGTATGGCTAAAGTGTGCATTTCATGTCGGGAAAACCATATGATAATGAACATTCATCAATATCAACAAAAGTTCACCATCGTAAGCAATGTGGTCGATGAAATTTGATACAACCTCATCGATCACTACTGGGTGTGAACATTGGCATTTTTATATATCAAAGAGGCAGAAGATTGGAATTGAAAAGTGGACAGAATATTGATTTAACGATATTTTTTATTTTCAGATTGTTACAACAACTTTTTTGGAATATCATATTATGGCTACGGTTCTTCCCAGTACTGCTAGCTCATACTCCAAGTATTTATTTCTTCATAAGTATTTATCGTTTTGTTCTGTCCATGAAATATAAACTCCTTCGGAATGTGTGTATTTTCATCAGTATGTTCTGAATATTCAAGTTGAGAGAGAGAATTATGAGGAGATATTCAGAACAGAGTGGAATTTTGCTAGACTATTTCACGAAGCAATAGCGTTTTATTATAAATGAACAAGCCATTTAACCAAAGCGATTTATTGTAACATCTACAGCTATAATTATTTTTTGTCAACCTGACAGTCTTTCCTTTGCTATCCATGGTTGCATCAACGCTGATAGACAGATCAGATATCAGAAGTTGTATTTGGCTTGCGAATAGTCGGATTATGTGAATATTTTAGGATGAGTGAATGAAATAGTCACTAATGTCCAGAAGAAGTTTCAGAAAAGTACGAATAAGATGTGAACCTTAGTAATGCAATTTCACATGAAATATAATTGATTGTTTCAAATTAAACATTTATTGAAATTATGTATCAAAAGTAATGTACAATAGGGTGATCTAGGTTTGACTAGTATGACCTGATATCTTTTACAACGAACGAAATTAATGCAAATATTTCATGTGCGTATATACAGTGGCATTGAAATAAGTGCAAATATTTCAAACACTGAGAATGCTCGACGTGTACTATCTTCTGGCACTGATAAAAAAATTTAGGGATCAAAATAGAATTTGAGGTTAGACCCTTTTTTCCACCCAAAGTTCTACACTGTAGCAAATCTGACGTCACCTCTGTTCAAATTTCCATGTGGTAGGCACAATCACGCAGAGTTCAATCATTTAAATTGTTTGAAAGTGGCGTACTTGTTTTTTTGTCTCGTATTTTGTTCAATTTTTGGGATCAAATTTCTCGTTAGAAGAATTAGAAAAAATCTAATATCATGGGAATATTCCTTAGACTGTATCATATTAATGTGCCGAATATGTGCACTTATTTCAAAAACACCTTGTATATACTATCCGCTTCTTTGTGCGTGGAAAAATTTTGATTTCGATATACAAAGGTTTTGAAGGTAAAAGGATATAAATGAATATAGATTTACATACTGGGTGATTGTCTGGTAAACATACTCCAATATTTAATTCCTCAATCCTATTTTTCGTCATAATGTTCACATATTATTATTTAATATAATTCTATATTAGTTATTTACTATACAAGGGAAAAAAGTAATAGATTTTAGCTCCAGGTTGTGTTATCTCCCGACGCATAGCGGAGGGAGATAAAAAACCGTGAGCTAAAATCTAATATTTTTCCCGTGTATAATACACTATTTTGTTCTGTGACAGAAGAAAGGACGAATCAATATTGAGAAGATATTGAAATCTGAAAATTATCGACGTGAAATTTCAAGTTTTTAACAGTAGGGACACCTGTGTTGTAGGCATCTTTATCATTCTTTTGAAGTAATCAAATATCTGATGTCACTTCTATCAGTCTAATTCTGTGATTTGATTTAAAAAAATTGCGAATTCAGTGGTTGTTTAGTAATTTACGTATAATCGAGAAGTCGAATGGAAGATAAAAGGACTTGCAGTTCTTTCTCGGAGACGGTATTATTGACTCATTTTTCGGAACTATAGCACAACAAAAGCCATCAACAGTGTATACAGTATGATGCAAATGTATGGAATAAATTCATTATTTCAGAAATGGGCGACATTTGAAGAAATTCCAGAAACACGTGAGTTTTAATTTTTGAAGCTTCATCTCATGACATTCATATGAGAGATGTTACGTCACTGGTGTAGAAGTAATGACGTAATGGACGATTTTTTCAGATACAAGCAGGGGTCATGTGACACCTCGTTTGAAAGGTCTACTGATCGTCTATCCAACAGTCAAAATTTTGCATAAGAATATTGAAATTAAAATGGATTATCATTCGGTTAACTGAATCTTGCAGAGGTCTGCTACTGAGAATTGAACATCGAAGGGTCGTCTAGTTGAAAAAATACACAATAAAAAGAGTTCTGAACTCTAGTTTTTGGATTTTTTTCGGAAGTCGTCTTGTTTTAAAATGAATTTATTCCATACATTTGCATCATACTGTATATATGTGATATATATCCGGGAAAAAAGTACTCACTCAGTAATTTATGAATAGTGACATTTTATAATCTGCCAACAGAGATGAAAAGCCAAACTTTTTTCCCGTCACAGAAAAAAGATAATTGTCCAGATTTAGAACAATGTCACATATTCAACCAAACCAAATTCGCTATATCAGACCAAACATTTTGGTCAGTAATATATTATAATAATCATTCGGCAATCTTGATCATGATCTGTTGAAAAAAAATCAGATTCATACTATTACCAAAAAAAGCTGCAGATTGAAAAGCACCCTATTCAGTACAACCCTTGGATTTGTGTAAAAAACATCACTGAACACCAAACACCCATATACAGTGTTACAGTTAACTTTTATGTCCTTTTGTCAAAAAGGTGGTGAATATGTACATAATAATCCCGTTTTCCAATTATGTGGGGATCCGTTTCATTCACAAGGGGTTCATGGCGCAAAATTAGGATAATTCATCATTTTGGTAACGCCCAAAGTGCGGGACTACATGAAAAGGGAAAAAGTTGATTGAGTTTGTGTCGTTTCATTCCTTTCATAAAATACACGTTTTGTGCGAAAAATCATCGATATTAAATGAAATTATGGCATTGAAAGAGTTGCAGTTTTTATTAATGGAATTATTTAGCGTCACGTTCAGATATTGAAATCGTACAGGGTGCCCTGAAATATCTCGTTCAATATCTTTTTTTTATCGCTTGGAGCGCACGAAAGGAAATCCCTATAATGTTCAAAGAACATCGTGCGTTCCTAGGGAGGACAGGGACAGGAGGTAGGTATTGTTTTCAAATAAACTCAAATAAACGTGTTCAAATAAACTCAAAGTTTCACTAATTCACGTGGCCGAACCAGCTTACCCACTACACAACAAATAACTGAGAAACATCTCACCCTTATAGCTAAAAATTTGAGTGCTTGGGAATTATTTGAATCTCTGACTAGCGTTGCCATTTGGCATCGCACGGCGCTAATGGGTTAAATATATACTCAAAGTTCAAAGTCATTTCCCAGAATGTTCATAAATGAACGAAACTGATAGATAACGAGAGATAAACATCCACTTTCCTGGCTATATGCAAAGCAGAACATTGAATTACATCCTCTCGAAATATATGCAATGTTGAAAAGGAATATTCTCAGATAAATTATGAACATACAAAAAAGGATATATATTTATATAAAGCAATACATTGAGAATTCGCATTCTCTATGTGATGAGAATATTGACTCTTTTTCAGTTAATTCAATAGAAAACAACTACTTTCCTGGCTATATGCCACGACGAACATTGAATTATATCTATTGAACACACACGATAAGAGTTTGAAAATAAAATATGAAAATTTCTGAAATTGAGAATTTGCATTCTCCTTCAGACAAAAATATGTATATACACACATCATTCTGAATATTCAACAGAAAACAACTACTTTCCTGGCTATTTGCCACGTCGAACATTGAATTATATCTGATGAACATTCAAAAGGGGAACATGAAAAATAAAGAATAAAATCCTCCGAAATTGAGAATTGACATTCTTCTTCAAATCGGATGAATAATATGATGAATAATGATCTAGAAATATGACTTACCAATATATTCATCATATTATTCATCCGATTTGAAGAAGAATGTCAATTCTCAATTTCGGAGGATTTTATTCTTTATTTTTCATGTTCCCCTTTTGAATGTTCATCAGATATAATTCAATGTTCGACGTGGCAAATAGCCAGGAGAATGCGAATTCTCAATGTATTGCTTTATATAAATATATATCCTTTATTGTATGTTCATAATTTATCTGAGAATATTCCTTTTCAACACTTTCATACCCAATCAGGGGGTTCAAACTTGAACGATGGAAACTTGTGATTTTTATAGACCTCTAATCGCAGATTCGTGATAGAGTCTCAATTCAGAATTCATTTCCACGCCCTGTATGATGAATGTCAATTTATCATACACCCAAAAGCATATATGCAATGATTCGTATAGACGAAACGCTGAATTGTGGAAGATCACATTCCGAGGCTGAAAAATCCAGAATCCATATTAGCTATTTTGTTTTGAAAAAAATCTGCGTACGCCACTGGAATCGACGTCTTCTGAAATAGATCTGTGCCAAATTTCATGAAAAAATATTCATCATTGACAATTCTATGAATGAATCACGACTTCATTTGATAACAACATATAATACACATTCATTCTACTTGATTTTTTGGGATTATGCGTATTATATCAATATATTTGTAGTGGGACAAATCAGATGATTTGCCCTAAAATCACTGCGTTCAACAATTTTTTCTATCAGGGAGCCTAAAAGAAAAATCCAGTAGTTTGTCAGTGATACTTTGTTCGAAAAAATGTTTGAAGGAAAGATATATAGATATATTGAAAAAATATCGAATTTTCACTTATCTTTGGACGTTTCGGGAACGAATCTGCTCCCGTTCTCAACATGAAAATGCAAAGCAACAGCTTCAAAACAGAGAAGAGTAATTTAATATTTGCACTATAGTGCAAAAAAATCGAACTTTTCATATACTGAATAGTGCAAAAAATCCCTCTTTGTGCACGATCGTAGGGCACAAGGGAATTCAACTGGAAATAAATCTGAAACTGCTCGTTTGTCAAAATTACACAAAACTGCTTTTTCCTCCAGTAGTAAATAGTAGATTGTTTTATTAGGATCAAAAGTGACACTTTTTTTGACAAGCGAATTCTGCATTTGCGAGGCGGAGCGTTTAGCGAAGCCGAGCGAAAGCAAAATTTGCGAGTCGAACAAAGTCACTTTTGATCCGAATGAAACATGCTATTTTTTCTGCAACCGAAACAATTAACTCAAATAAACATGTGAAGTAACCACCAATGCCGTGCCATATGTATGCAATGCAACAAATATTGACAAATAATCCATGCGTGATGAGAATATTCTACCTGCATTAACAGC